AGTGGCTTTCTCTTTTGCAGGCTCTGCTTTGCTTCCAACTTGAGGCTTCTTTGCAGCTGGGGTTTTCTCGCCCTTTGCTGCTGCCTTCTCTCCATCCTGAGCCTTGGCAGCATCTGGGGCCTTCTCCTTTGCAGCAGCCGGGGTTTGCTTCTTTGCAGGCTCTGCTTTGCTTACATCTTGAGGCTTTTTTGCAGCTGGGGCTTTCTCTGCCTTTGCTGCTGCCTTGTCCCCATCCTGAGCCTTGGCAGCATCTGGGGCCTTCTCTTTTGCAGCCGCCGGGACCTTCTCCTTTGCAGGCTCTTTGTCTCCGTCCTCAGCCTTTGATGCAACTGTGGTTTTTTCTACCTTCGCAGCTTTCTTCCCTCCATCCTGAGCCTTTGCAGCAGCCGGGGTTTTCTCCTTTGCAGGCTCTGCTTTGCTTCCATCTTGAGGCTTCTTTGCAGCTGGGGTTTTCTCACCCTTCACTGCTGCCTTCTCTCCATCCTGAGCCTTGGCAGCATCTGGGGCCTTCTCCTTTGCAGCAGCCGGGGCTTTCTCTTTTGCAGGCTCTGCTTTGCTTCCATCTTGAGGCTTCTTTGCAGCTGGGGTTTTCTCCCCCTTCACTGCTGCCTTCTCTCCATCCCGAGCCTTGGCAGCATCTGGGGCCTTCTCCTTTGCAGGAGCTGCAGCTTTCTCCTTTGCAGGCTCCTCTTTGCCTCCATCTTGAGCCTTTTTTGCAGCTGGGGCTTTTTCTGCCTTTGCCACTTTATTCTCTCCATCCTGAGCCTTTACAGCAGCTGGAGCCGCCTTCTCCTTTGCAGGCTTTTTATCAGCTGGGGTTTTATCTGCCTTTGCAGCTTTCTTCTCCCCATCCTGAGCTTTTGCAGCAGCTGTGGTTTTCTCCTTTGCAGCAGCCGTGGTTTTCTCCTTTGTAGGCTCTTCTTTGCCTCCATCCTGAGCCTGTGCTGCAGCCAAGGTTGTCTTCTCTGTGGGTTTTGCCTTCCCTCCTTCAGCCTTTGCTGCAGCTGGAGCCTTCTCCTCCGTGGGCTCTGCTTTCCCAGCACCCTCAGCCTCTAACCCACCAGGGGCTTGCCCCTTCGTGGGCTCATCCTTCCCTCTGTCCTGAGCCTCTGCTACAGCCGGGCCCTTCCCCTCTGCGGGCACTGCCTGCCCTCCTTCAGGCTCTCCCGCAGCCCCAGCCTTCTCCTCCTTGGGCTCTTCCTTCCGTCCACCCTGAGCCTCGGCAGCAGCCGGCACCTTCTCCTCCGCAGATGCTGCCTGCCCTCCATCGTGCTGTGCAGCTGAAGCCTCCTCTGCCGGCGCTGCCTTCCTCCCATCCCCAGGCTCTGGAGCGGTCGGGGCCGTCTTCCCCACCGGCTCTGCCTTCCCTCCTCCGGCCTCTCCCACCGCCTGCTCCCTCCCAGGCTCTGC